CCCTCCAAAAGCCACGCTTTCGTTTTAAATACACTGTGACTCGCTGGAATTGGAGGAGAAATAAATCCTCACAGCTGAGCAACTGCTGCCATGACACCTGTCTGGAGCTGCAAAACCTGCTCAGCAGCTCAGCCCAGCTCAGCTCAACGGGGACCGGCTCCGACACCCAACGGTAGCAGTGCTGACATTTAAAGTATTAATTATTTCACCACACATCAAAGCACAGAAGACTGCTGAAGGAAGATGATGTTATGAAGATCTGCACAATTTACCCTGAGTGACAGCTCGTTCTGATGTTGCCTTGGGAGATGTGCTCTCTCTCTCTCCCCCTCTCCACCGGTTGGGAAAGGGCCACGTTCCTTGGGAAGGGCAGACATTTCCTTGGGAAAGGGCCACGTTCAGGCACCTCAGCAAAGCTCTGCAGCTCGTCTTTGCTTTTCTCCCCGAAGCAGAGCAGAGGGCAACCAGAGGAAATGAAATATGGAGACCTCCAGGAATATCCTGAACCCAGAGGGAGAGCAGGGTTTGCAGGGAGATGCCCAAGCTCAAAGAGGTAACAGAGAAAAGGCACCTGTGCCCTTAGATCTTGAATCATGGAATCATGGAATGGTTTGGGTTGGAAGGGACCTTAAGGATGCTCTCATTCCATGCCCTGCCATGGGCAGGGACACCTTTCACTAGCCCAGGTTGCTCCAACCTGGCCTTGGACACTTCCAGGGATGGGGCAGCCACAGCTGCTCTGGGCAACCTGTGCCAGGGCATCGCCACCCTCATATATCTAACCTGAATTTCCCCTGGTTCAGCTTGAACCCATCACTCCAGTTCCTGATGAAGAATCCCTCTCTGGCTTCCCTGCAGGCCCCTTCAGGTGTTGCACATCTCTTATTCCCCGTGTCTCTCCCAGGTTAGGGCAGTGGCAGGAGCACATGTTTGCTGTCACCTCAGCTGTGTTCTGGACAAGGGCACTCACCCTTCCAACCTGCAGAGCTCTCTGCATCCTTGGAAGTGTTGTTTCCCACAAGACCTCCTCAAATCTACTCACAAGCTGTAGCAAACCAGTAGCTTCCTATCCTTGGAGCCCAGCACAGCGTCTGATACAGCACAACCCCGAGCCCAGCCTTTCCCACAGATGATTTTATATTGCATTGCTCTGACAAGGGAACCCCTGGAGGATTTCTGCTCAAGCAAGGAAAATTATGTTCCAAATCTCCCTGATATACACATT